TAGGCAATCTGCCTTGTTCTCTAATTTGCCCCATAAACTCTGCAATTTGACCCATCTGCTTCTCCAAGTTGTCCACCCGTTTGTCTTGGATTTGTCTCTCCTTATTTTGAGTTTGTACTTCCTGCGTCAAAGTAGTAAGTAACTTAACAACTTGATCATTATCCAAAGACGTACCTGAGGTTGGTGGGGCGGGTTGCACTTGGTTTGGATTGGGGACGAATGGCTTTGTATAAAAGCCCGGTGGTTGCTGCCTAAATCCTCCTTGTTGTTGGGGTTGTTGAGGATCCCGCCATTTGAAATTCGGATGGTCCCTCCACCCCGGATTGTAGGAATTAGAGTATGAATCATGGCGTGGTTGATTTTGGTTCCCAAAACCAACGGCATTGGCAGCTTCCCAACCCCCATTCTCAATCAATTGAGGGCATTGATCATTGGCATGTCCTTGCACCGAGCACACGCCACACACACTTGGTCCATGAATCTTCATTCCCTCGGCTAACTGAGAAACAATAGAAGTAAGGTTAGCTAATTGGGATTGAATCTCGGGCATAGAACTTACCTCATTCACTTGTGGTCGTGGGGGGTCCCTTTGTCCAACACCTTCGTATTGTTGTGCATTATGTGCTCGGTTGGCAATTAGAACTTTTGCAGCCCCCGGAGTCTTATCCACCAACGCTCATCCCGCCGAGGCATCAAGCATTTGGCGTTCCATGGGGAGGAGTCCTTCGTAGAAGTATTGAATGAGCAGCTCCTCCTTCATTTGATGCTGTGGACAAGAAGCAACAAGTGATTTAAAACGTTCATAATAAGAAGGAAACGATTCACCTGGGTTTTGTTGGATGCCACTAATCCGTTTCCTCAAGAGAATGACTCTTGAAGTTGGGAAAAACTTCTCCAAGAACGCTCTTTTCATACTATCCCAAGATGTAACCGTTCCGGGTGCTAACTCGTAAAGCCAATCTTTCGCCTTTTCCAAAAGTGAGAATGGAAAAGCCTTCATCATCAGAATACTCCCGTCAACATTGATGGGTGTCATGCTCGAACAAACAACCTCGAACTCCTTGAGATGCTTGTTGGGATCTTCCATGGAAAGCCCATGGTATTTCGGAATGTGGTGCAACAAGCTTGACTTCAACTCAAATTCGTCGGTCTTGCCTTGGGCAGCCGCGGGGTATTGAATGCATAATGGTGCGGCATTGGTCAACCCCGAGGCCGAAAGCTCTTTAATGGTCCGATTGTCCGCGGCCATAACTTCTTCTTCCTCTTTTTCAAACTCAGATTCGGCCTCTGAACTTGAACTAGGTTCACTAGGTTCGGGATACCTCCTCTTTCTTCTCAAATCACGTTCAAAATCGTCGTTGAAATCCAATATGTGTGCATGCACGGTTTGAGAGCTCTGCGTCATGCACTAGTACCTAAACCAAGAAAACAAAACAAAATAAGAAACTAAGTAATTTATACTAAAACACACGGCAATAACACAAGGGATTAGCAATTTTGCTAATCCCCGGCAACGGCGCCAAAATTTGATGTGAAAATTAACTTGACACACAAATTAAACCCTATGGATGACAATTGTAGTATATGAGCAAATAGGGATCGTTCTAACTGGGGATTAACTAGGGATGCTAATCAATGTAAATCTGACTCAAGAACATAAAAATATAATGTAGAACACTAAACTAGACTCAATTAATGTAAAACTAGGGTTTAAAACACCTAAACAAACTACAAACTCAAAACAGCAACTAAAAGGCTCAAAACTGCCTTAAAACCACTTTCTGGGCAGTTTTGAGTACCTAACACTAGTTTGGACGAATTTGGACTAAGACTTGACTCAAAACACTTAAAAACACAACTAAATGGATTTCTAACTAATCTAACACTTTAAAATAAATGGGGGAATGATTTTGACGAAATTAAAACTTTAAAACTCAAACTTTAAAAACAAATGTAAAGCAAAACAGATTGTGATTAAACAGAATGGTGAGAAGCTAGTTAGAGGGTTCCTTATCCACACATGAACATATGCATACAACTCGATCTCCAATTACTCTTTCAACAAACCATGAATGACAATGCCCCAAATTAACTAGATTGCACCAATTAATTCTCAGATTTCCCTAGATTCATTGAATTGAATGGAATACGCATTACAACCAAATTATTCTTATCAAGGACCCTAACTATGGAATACGCATGATAGAGACACATATCAAAGATCATTAAGTTTAATGGAAATCATAAGCATTGACGAAGCATTCATAACTATGGGATACGCATGTTACTCTTGCCTAGGATTTACTTAACACAATCGTGACTAGCGACTTTCACTACTTATGAATACAAGTTAATAACGATTAGGTGAAATTCCCTTATATCCTAGCATCAAGTTTAGGCATGCAAATTAAGTGTCGACCCTCAACCCACATACATAAACAAGTTATCAATCAAACAGATAAGTAAATCACATTCACAATTTCTGAAATCATAATTGGAAGAAATCAAATCATATAAAACATATGTCCATGGCTTCAAATTCACCTCTAACTAAAAAGAAATTAGTTCCACATGTCTAACATAATTGAACAACAATTTAAATTAAACATGAAAACAGAAACAAAGAAAGAAAGAACTCCAAACACTCCACTAATGGCAGATTGCATGTGCAAGGTGTCTTCCTCCTTTGGACTGCACGACACTCCTTCTTTCTCCTCCTTTGGTGGCTGCGCAAGGTGGTGATGGTGGTGGGAAAGCACGGCTGTGGTGGATGGATGATTCTGGAAGAGGGTAGAAGGGTTAAAAGGACTAGGGAGGCACGGCAAGGACTTAGAACTAGGGAGAATGAAGGGGTTGGTTGCGGCAAGGGTTTAGAATGAATTTCTAGAGTGAATGGATGATATGGGAGGTGGTGGTTCGGCCAAGAGGTTTAAAAGAATATATATAGGCACTTAAAAACCCTAGCAATCAGATTAGGGTTTCTAGAAACCCAAATCCACCAGAAAATAGGTTAAAACAATCAGAATTTGCAAGGGAAAAGGCCTAGGGTTCGGCTGATTTAGTGAGCTAGGGTTTAGGCTTCTAGAATGCCTTGCAAGGCAAGGAAATCAGATATCTTGGGGCCTAGGTGCGGCATTAAGTGAGGATCCAAGATGAATTGGGCTAGGAAGGTGCGGCCTTGTCCAAGAGGTAAGGATGGGTCATCTAGAAGCCCAAAACCAAGAATAGAAACTCTCACAAATGGAAACCTCCGAGAATAGAAACTTCCAACTTTAGAAACTTTGGTTTCTAATTCTGAATTCTTTGTTCTTCACTTTCATTTCTTCATTTCTTAAGCTCCCTTGACCTTCAAACTCGTCAATTCCTTGTGCACCATTCTCACAGTGTACGGGCGATTGTGCGGGTGATAGGGCGTCGTTGACACGTGGAGCCCTTAAGGTACTAGATAGAGGTCAGAGAACTTGGAGTGTTAGGTTACCCCTATATCTTTCATTGTATTTCTTTTCAACTTTCTTTTAGGAGCCTACTGGCAGGTCTTGGCCCTAGTGAGGGTTTAGTTATTTCCTTGTACATATGTTGTTAATATTTTTAATTTCAGTTCGTATTTCCTAGCATTCCCTTACAGTTGATCGTCGCGCGTTGATCCTAAACATATGTCGAGATCGAGGCGTGACAAGTTTCTTCTGGAAAATTGAAGGGGATGTGTCAAGCTTTAAAAAGAGCCATTTTGGAACTGAATTCTTACTGATTTGGTCGGTCAAAAAGGTATTTTACTCTGCAGAACTTGAAAATTTGATTTAATATTTTAATATTATTTTTTTCAGATTTGTTGGAAAACCTAGTTTAGGTAGGATTTTAATATAACTTAGTCTCCTGGTTAGGATTCTTTTTTTTGTTACGACATTGTATTGGATAACTTGGCTGGATCTTTTAGGCATTTTTCATCTTTCTACAAGGGTGTTTTCCTTAACCTTAATCTTAATAATATTTGCTTTTCATTCATGAATATACATAGCTAATTCTCTTTTGCTAGGGCGAGGCCACAAGTCTTACATGAATATGTTGTTTCTTTTCAATTGCTTGTGATGTTATTCATGCATTGAGATGCGGAAAAAGCTATGGCAACAAGGAGGACAAAATTGAACAAGCCACTAAAGGTGACTCACAACAGCAAGAGAGCAAAAAAAACAACCACTTGCCGTGATACATCCCGACCCGAAATGTCTACCTGGACTTCGAATCGAGTTGTGTTGGTCAACACCACAAAGGTGACGAAACCATAAAGTGTAGTGTTGTGGAAAATGTGAATGAATTTAAACCTAAAAGTGCCTAAATCTAAGAGTGCGCTTGTGAACGGGAATGAACCCATTTCACACGTGATAGCATAAGTAAAGTATAGTAAAGGTAGGATGAGAATTATACAATCAAAGGTAAACACCTATATAAAAGTTTGCCAAGAATCCTCGTCGACACGAAAGCTCAGCTATGGAAGGGCAGAAAACAAGGGTGAGTGGGCCTAAAAATAAAATTTTGTAAAAACATTTTCAAAAACATAATAACCCATCGCCGTTAAACAAGTATGGTTTCCAAAATATACATACTAATAGTATGAAAGTACTTACCATAGCCTGCAATATCTTAAGAATTCAGTATGTCACAATAAAATTCGTAAATAACCATCTAACGTTCGGCAGTCACATAAAAAAACATATCATATCGAGTGCTCATCAACATATGCTGACACACGAGTTTATGCAGAGGTATTCTGGCATGAACAGAACTGTGTGTAATAGTGATTTACGCTCTAGTACTATAATCACGTAAAGACTAGCGCTAAGCGCGTCACATACGAGTCCTAATTGCCTATAGCAATCTAGGACAGGATCGGCACCTACAATGGATCCAAAGTGAGTGTACAGTGCGATGTGAACATACTTTCTAGCCCGAACGAGTACTAACACCGGTGCAACAACAATGAGCAGATAACGCAAATAAAATCATACAACGGTAAATCAATAATTTATGTCGTCATAATACTATTCACTACCATAAATGTAAATAAGGTATTCTCCATAGTCCGCTTACCTGTGTATCCCATACGATTAATAATAATTTCCCAACAATACGACATTTCCTTACAACCGTTAATTAATTATGGCAATCACGTAGAAAATTCATTAATAATTATATATATGGAAACTCAATAAGTATAAATACTATATAAAAGAAAAGATCCGCTCACAGATACTTGCAAAGTTGTAGCCATTCGAACGAGGGAAGTCGGAGTCTTCGATAGTAATCTCACCTAAACATAATATTGAAACCCATTAGTAAAACTCAATTAAAACGATTGAATTTGGAGAAATAGACTGCGGATTCAGAATCAGCGTGTCAAAATACGCTAAGAAGGGTCCCGAGCATATTTTTGTAAAAAGTCAATGAAAAGTCAACAATCAAACCTAAAAAGTCAACTAAGACGCTCCGATGGTCAATTGCGTTAAAGCTTTGGAATTTTATTAAATGGATGTCAAAATGGACTCAGGGAGTCGAAATTAGCCTAGAAGGGTTTACGAGAAAATTTTGAAAAAGTCAACAAAGTCAAGTAACGGTCGACAGTTAACTTTAATGGAATATTCCATTCTCAGACGGAATATTCTGTTAAAGTTAATTGGAAGGTTCACGAAATATTCTCTTTGAATATTCCCTCCAATTCTTAAATGGATTTGGGTAAGGTTAGTGGGTCATGGGTTTGGGCCAGTTCTCGATCCAGTTTGGGCTTCTTCTTTTTTTTTTTCTTTTTTTTCTTCTTAGTTGCCATTGCAACCGCTGACTGGAAACTGAGGATTTGGCCAGGAAACTTCCACGGCTCTGATTAGCTTCAAAACTCAACCAAAATCAATGTATAATATAAGGTTTTAAAGCTGGAAGTACAAGGGAAAGAAATATATCTACATGAGGTCCTGCCATGACTGTTTTAAAGCTGGAAGTACAAGGGAAAGAAATACATCTACTTGAGGTCCTACCATGACCGGAATTGGTCGGAAAATGGCTCAAAAGCTGCTGGATCATTCGCCAAAAAACTGGCTAAAACTTCCCGAGGTTTTTCTCTAACATTAAACTAGTCCAAAATCACATACCACACCTAAATTTGATACTAAACGATGAAAAAGGAAGAAATAAGGGGTTCTCAAAGCTTACCATTAGTCGGAAAGCAAAGATCTTGCTGGAGAACATGGTGTCAACAGTGGTTTGTTTTCGTTTGCAAAGGAGAGACAATAGTGTTTTGGGGGAGTTCGAGGTTAGTGGTGATTTGCTGAGAAATCTACAGCAAGTGGTTGCTATGGTGGTTCATGTGGAGCTCGCCAGAGGGGGTGGACAGTGGCAATGGTGGTGTTTTGAGAGCAGTGAGAGAGTTTGAGATGAGAGAGAGTGAGTGATGAGGGAAAGAGAGTGAAATGAAGGATGAGAGTGATAGAGAGTTGAGAAGATCCTAGAGAGTGAGGAGAGATATGACACACGGACAAAGGGGAAAGGATACCCACGTGGGTGGGTCCCACCATGCAGAAAATGTCCCACAAGAAAAATATTAAAATAATAAAATACTCAAAATTCAAATTTCGTAAAACACCCTCAAGTTTCGTAGTTCTGTAAAATCTTCATCGTAGCTCCAAATTCGATTCCGCTTGCGCCTATGCGTTCGTATCCTTCAAACTCAAAATTTCCTTCTCCTTCAGTATAATACAAAAATATAAAATCCTTTATGAAAACATAAAGTAAAGAATAGATATATAATAACATAACGTCGAAATACGTATATAATAAAGTAAAGTTAAAATAGTTATATTGAAATCAAAACCAAACGTAGAAAAATTTCACCTACGCACTCGTAGCGTCATGTACTCCAAGAATAAGTGTGTAGTATCTTTGGGTCAAGCCCAAACAATAAATAAATACACTAACGTAAACGGGTCTACTTGCCCACTTGCTTAACGAACCTAACGAATAAGTTATCGATATTACGGTCCGGAGCCCACAATACCGACAACTCATAGTTGTCCCAATAAGCAAGTAATAAATTCCCGAGGGTGCAATATTACCATCTTGCCCCTCATTGGGAAATACATCTAAATTGTCTGATGAAAACCTCGATCGTGCTCACGCACTATCCTTTTAGGTGACAACATCAATAGCACATAATTTTGCTGCATTGTAATCTCAATCATTCAAATACCTATTCGTAATACTCATCTGTCAATCATGTATTGTGCATAAAGTCTCTATACAACGTCTCAACTGTAACAGGGATATGTGTCAATCATAATCATGATAAAATTGCAGAACGAACAAAGCGCAACACGTCCACTAAAATCTAGATAGTTCGTTCAGACTGGCCATTAGTCTGAGGGTGAATGTGGTATTAAATATCAACTTATTACCCATGGCTTTCAAGAAGACTTTGTTGTGTTCCTTTCAAGTGCAGATATAAGGATAGTATAATGGCACAAGTAAGGGTGTCGAACCATAGGGACTGATTAGAACTCTACAAATTACTAGCTTTATGAGAACTCTAACTACATAATGAAAATGAAAACTGAATTTAGGTTTTCAATTGAAAACTAAAATAACTTAAAATGCAAGAAAGATAAAGATAAATGATAGGTTGATTAAGAAACGTTGGGAACAGAACTTGGGGATACCGATTTCACCATTACAAGTCAATTCCATAAAAATTAAGTCAAATGCATTCAACTCTCCAATCTACAACTAGGGTTCGTTTTACTTATTTATGATCGTCCATTTGATGTGTGGTTGTGATCAAACACTCCTATTCTGTAACCTAGTTATGATGTTCAACTTAGATTAGCAAGTAAGAATCCATTAAGAACAAGAAAACTTCAAAGAACCAAAGAAATCACATGGCAAGATGTATGCATAACAGTTTCTTCATTCATTCACATGTCCACCAAGATTAAGCATGATGTGTACTATAACCTTGATCAAATAATTCATAAGCATCCCTAATGGTGATCAAACATTAAGATTAACAAACAAATTATCCTATAAAATCAGTGAATGAAATAAGAACACAGGTTGGTAGTTTGAATACTTTAACTTAATAACATAATTACACAACATGATTATAGAATATATAAATATCAAGAACAACATGAGTGAAATTAAAGTTCATAGAAGAAACCCCCTTGAAGCAATTATGATGTTGAACTTCTCTAAGAACAGCGTGGTTGCATGGTTTCTTCGGTGGCAGTGGATGGTGAAGGGAAATAGGGTTTTGTTTCTAGAAGAAAGGCTAAAGAAAGAGAAGAGAGAGAGCTCTGGGCGACCCCCAAGGGGGCTTATGTAAAAGTGGCTAGAACTCTCAGTTTTATAATATTAAAGAGGCTGTTATAGAATGCCAAGACGTCCCAGTAATTAAGCATTTATTTCAGACATTTTTTTGCTGTTATTGGTCTCTTAAAGGGCCATATTCATCACATATTCAATTGTACACTTCGATTCTCTCTCTACATCAGAATCCTTATTCAATTTTCTATTTCAGCACCATTTTGCCTTATTTACCCTCACATGGCTCTAAAATACAATTAACTGCACGTTAACATAAAAGAGAGAAAAACGTAACCAGTTTAACAAAAAAAAATATCACAAAGAGACTAGGAATGGATGGTATAAATGTATGAAATATATGAGTTATCAAATACCCCCAAACCTGGTTTTTGCTAGTCCTTGAGCAAAACTAAAGCTAAAACAAACAAAACAAAGAAAAATCTAACTAGACCACTTTCACTGGCTAAATGATTGCACTGAGCATGTGCAACAAGCCTTTAAACCTCTAGGTGTCCCTAGTAGGAGGAGTTGTGTCTCCTGAGGGTTTACAGCGATGATGCCCATAAACATTTACAGACTGACAAATAAATTGGTTAAAGCATACTTGAAACAAACTAATAAGAACCAATGAAAGCTTAGTCATACATTCAAACCAAAAGTCTGCAACTTCAATGAATCGTATCATGTGTAGAGTGTGAAAAATATTACTCCATGACTCATGACTTCAAAAGCACCATACTCAAATACTAAAGATAGAATTCGCCTCAACTCTAATTCTCACATATTGTCACTCAAATGTTCACTTAGATCCTAAGGTTTTGTCGCTCATCAAACATATGTGAGTGAAGTTATGTAAAAGGGAATCAAAATTCTCACATATGAAATATGAAATAAAAGCATAATTTCTGATATATCTCATGAAATGAATAAAACACTAAGAATATGGATAGCACACATACTTACCAACACCCATGAATATATCCCCAAAGATCAGCTAGGTCTTTCACAAGGTTGTAATGTAAGGCTTAGGCTAGGAGCTACGAAAGAATGGATAGGAAATGCTAGAGCCTGAGACATACCAAAATGTCTTTGTTGTAAAACCAGCAAGCTCTCCTCTTCAATTGACCTTAGTTTTATAAGATTAAAGAGGCTGTTATATAATGCCAAGACATCCCAATAATGGAGCATTTATTTCAAACGTTTTTTGTTGTTATTAGTCTCTTAAATGGCCATATTCATCACATATTCAATTGTACACTTTGAATTTCTCTCTACATCAGAATCCTTATTCAATTCTCCACTTTCAACACCATTTTGCCTTATTTACCCTCAAATGGCTCTAAAATACAATTAACTGCACATTAACACAAAAGAGAGTAAAATGCAACCAGTTTAACTCAAAAATATCACAAAGAGACTAAGAATGGATGGTATAAATGTATGAAATATATGAGTTATCAGACTTCCTAAGACTTGAAAGTAAAATGCGCATCATAGTGAAATACGGTAGTGACCTGCACATCATGTAATCGAACAATGTAGTTCAAAACGCTTTAGCGAGTAGATTCATAGTGAATTTCTCAAATCCATCAAATCTAGAATACAAGGTAATAAGATTAACTGCATAACATCTCGGTACAACGGTAGCTTTCGAAATATTCAATCACCAATGGTAAAGATTTGTTTAGCAGAGTATTTGTTGGGTGATTGAGGAATTAATGGTCACAACTAAAATTTCAAGGTCCAAGCGATTCTCCTAGACGGTATGTCTGCTTCAAAACAAGGAAGTGAATATGGAATTATAGTCAGAGTAGATGCTGATTGAAACTCCAGAAAAATCAGATAAATTTGAGAATAAGGAAATTTACCAAGTGGTCTAAAATGTAGTCCCTCTGGACCAAGAGAAACTGAGCTGACTTGTCAAGTCGGTCGATAATCACCAAACATCATCATAATTTCTACATATACAAGATACCTCGTACTAGAACTTATGGTGATATCTCCCACCTCCATTTGAATACGGGAAGTGACGATAACCACTCAAATGATTTCTTGATGATTTGTAAGTAACGTCGTATCAATACTCGTGAATTTCAGGCTAAAAGTGTTCAAGCATACATGTGTCATTTATTGCAGTCATCGGTAATTACATTTGCACAATCGGGGTAGTATCGGATAGTGCAATCGTATTTGGTTTTTCCATCGCCATTGTCAGAAATTTAGTTCCTTTCAAATGATGATGTATTTAATAAGTCGTGAGGTTGGTAAAGATTTTGAACACGTTTCTCTGCAGAGAAGTGACATTTGATTTTCAAATGAAGATGATAAATGTTGACTTTAGGTCATGAATAAAATGGTTCATTTCATACGGTCCCAACCATTGGAAACATAAGCGATACTATGTCATGCTGCATCAATATGCAACCAATACATCTAAAGAAACATCACTGTAGATTTTTAAATTGATCAATGTCATTGAAGGGTGCAAGACAAAAGTGAAGTGAGATAACAGCTCGGTTGTCAAAAACTTTATTGATTTTCAACATCACAACTAAACTAACTTTCCTTAGTTGACATGTGAAGAAAAATTCTATAGTCGAAAAATCGTTAACAAACGGCTTATAAAATTGACAAACCAAAGATATTACGTATTCCACCACAACCGGTAGGAATTATCCAATTTTCTACATTTGAAACCTTTTGGGGAAGAGAAAAGAATGTCGTCTATTGAGTTCACGTCTCTCAAGAAAAGTACCAATCTAAACAAAACTAACATTTGATGAATTTGGTATTAAACTGTCGATGTTAAGAAATTTTGATCTCACTTTTGGGATAGGTGAGAAAATCGTTAGTAAGACTACTACGAATTCATCAGGCTACAAAAGAAAACTCGGGCTCCAAAAGTTTGGTCGAGTAGACCATCAATTCGAAGTATGGGTCAACGGTTTTAATTATTACCCGATTGAGTTGCAAAAATCTAAGTACGATCCTAAGGTTCACTCTTTCGCCTTCGCGGTTAGGTTTGAGGTTCCAAAGGTAAAGTGTTTGGTTCCTGGTTAAGTAAATTCCTAATTAGTAAAATTTTGTAACTAAGTTTTCTCAAAGTCGAAGG